ACTATGTTTCAGAACTATCACTTGCAATTTGCACATGAAAAAAAATTCGGGAAAGACAACAGTGACATTCGATGTTTGGCACAAAAACATTTTAAAACAAATTTTGATTTGCATTGCTTTTGCATTTGCATTGAATTACCCTTTCTGACATTATTCTTACCTCAACTGAGTGGCCCACTTCTGATACAAGTTATACAACAAGAGTACAGTGACATTCTTCCCTGTAGGTGCACCGAGTACCATTGACTGGTAGATACGTAGGTATTTCAGAACACCACTTGAAATGCCTGGAAGACCAGTCCTGCAGAGTAGAATGATGACATGGTATCCTGTGTGCAGAATGTACTCAGCTTCTGAAAGTTAGTTCCCATACTGGAAAATTGTTGTAGAACGCACTGGAAACTCTCCGGAGATGTACCTGACATGTGAGTGCCAGACTGGATGATGAAAAGTTCTTTTGACTAAAAATAACAAACAAAAGGTCAATGATGAAAAAACAAGGAACATAATTGTATAACATTTTCATCGTTTTAATATATTAATCATAAAGTGATTAGTAAAGCGTAGTATGCAGACTGTGTATAAAATATGATGTAGAAAAAACAATCTGTAAATCTTATAATTGGTAAAGAATTAATACAGACAAATACAAATAATAGAAAACAATTTGTAATCAAAATGAATTATAAATAAATCAATGAACAGGTGACACAAAAAATAAGATAAAACAAAATCCAACAAAGTAGTCTAAGGTTTGTCTTGATCAGAGTTGTATAAAAATGTGATATACAATAAAGTATATCATTATAACTACCTTCATAGTGTACATTGGATGAACAAAAACATGTCATGTAACATGTATGGCGCCCTCGCTGGCCAAACTGCAAATATGTACATTTGTCGTAGAGAGCGTTGTATACAACAAAACCATAAACAACTTGCAGATCAAGATATAAATCTAAATTTGGGAATATATCATCTTACCTCATCATATTTATAAGTGTCGGAGGGCACTGCAATCATCACATTCACACTGTCTTTGACTAATTGCTGCTGGGTTAACTGGTTCAAATCCGGTTTTCTGAGACTTGGGTCGATATTAGAAATATCCTGGAGACGAAGCTTGTACACTTCGTCAAAGACTTTGGCCCCAGCCTCAGACACGTATGGGCGCTCTATACGTCTGGGTGTTCTGAAATGATATTTCAAATGTAGAATTTACGGTCATTCCAAATTGTGTAAGTTCACAAATAAAACAAAATATTTCATCTAGTGACGAACACTGATTTTTAATGTTCACAGTTTGTGTTTATTTTTTCACATTTTTAGTATGGTTGTATGATACTACATGTTTTTTGCTAATTTGTAAAAACCTTTATTTTGGTACAAGTCAATACAATTGTTATTGTTATTCAATTTATCTGGAATTAATTACAGACGTGATGGTTTGTTATATTTTGTCATTAAATGTGAATCAAGTGATACCATAAACCCTCTCTATTGTGATATATAATGTAAATTAATGTTTGAAACAGAACAGGGAAAAAATGCACTAGAATTTTAATGAGCAGCTTCTTAGGATAAATTACTTGCGTTATATATATATTTGGCATAGTCAGTAAAATATGTTTATCCATGGAGCGAACTGGTACAATTGTCCGCAACAAGTACGGTCAGTTTTGTGTCCATGTCAGTTCATAAATTCATGGAACACATTTTTTGGTTAAGTTTGTAAAGTCTGTGAGACTGCAATTTATCAAAATATGATGAAAGTATTAAATCAATAATGGCAAAATTGTTTTCTACGAAGGCATCTGAAAACCACAGTCCCTCTATCACTGTGTCAAAACTAAAGTCGGGGCTAATGCTACGACTCCGACGCTACGACCACCGTAACATTGTCAGCTGACGGCATTGCGGGGAAATTACGGGTATTTACCGCTGCTGATATCTTACTTTTCTGTGACAAAATGCACACATTTCGAACCCCCGGTTAATTAAAAATAAACGATTATTTTAGAAAATACACCGAAGCACAGTGCCTTGAGGGATTGTGGGCGAAGCAGGCAGCGAGGTGTTGTTTTTAAACACCGCAGATAATCATGCACTCAACGCAGCCATCTTGGTTACCTCAATCAGATTTTCTCCTTGTCACCCAGCATGCATCAATTGCGATATCGCAACGTGCACTGTGTCGCCTTGGGCGACGGTCTTAGGTACAAGGCACTCTATGAATAGGGTATTTTCAGAGGTCAGGGTTCGTTTTTTATAAGCAGTCTCATCTGCAGATGAATAGCCTTAAATAATCAGCGCGAGTCCATTTAATTAAATTTTCTGTTTTGATATTTCATGTCACTGGCAAATGAATAAGAAAAACTGCAAATAACCGATGTGCAGCAAATCGAAATAAATTTTTATGGCATACGCTGCATTTTTTTCCCGGATTTTGCGATGCCGCACTCCTGAATGAACTTTTTGAAAATTTAACGCGCAACAGTAGTAAAGGCTTGAACATAGTAGGGTAAGTCTCAAGTGCAACTTTGTATCAACAAATGTTCGTCTTTTGATACTTATTAGCTGTCAGAGACACATATGAATTGTCCAGCCCATGGAGGTAAAAGGTCTCTTTTTACCTCCATGTCCAGCCCAATGAAAA